CTCCCTCCTTCTCTCTTTTTCTGATTAAAGAACCACATTGTTTGAGAAAGCTCCTAAGACTGTATCTGGGTATGGAAGAGATACTCTACTACCACAGTGTATTTGAGCTATAATGACAAGTACCAGTGGAACCTTAAAAATATTTTCTTCTTATCAATATATTAGCAGGCTAAACACAACCATTTCTTAATAAATAACTGACTAGTTAAATCAAAAGATGACCACAAACCACCTGTAAGTACTATTGAAACTTCTATCTCACTGTGATCCATTCGTAGTTGGGTTACAGGGTTTATCTGAATCAGATATCCCCTTTGTATTAACTCCTGTTTCCAGAAGGAGAATTTGTTACTCAGGGGTTGTGTCTCTACAAAAGAGAAGCAACGTTTATCTTATTATTTCATTTCAACAGGATGTTTCAGTAAGATTTCCAAGGGTCCAATGAAGTGATCAGCTCTAAGCAGGCCATGAGTATGGGAAGTATGGGAAGCTTTCATTTAAAAACCAAAATGATTCTTCCAAATTAATCTACACACCTACCCAGCAAAACTGAGTATAATTCTTCAGGGGAAGAAATGGTCATTCAGTGAAATAGAGAACTTTCAAGCATTCTTGATGAAAAGACCAGAGCTGAATAGAAAATTTGACTTTCCAATACAAGACTCAAGTGGAAAATGAAGAGGTAAACAGGAAAGAGAAATCGTAAGAGACTTATCAAGGTTGAACTGTTTACATTCCTGCATGGAAAGACGATATTTGTAACTCATGAGACCTTTATCAGTATTAGGGTAGTTGGAGGGAAAAAATTATATGTATGTATGTATATAGATAGATAGATAGATAGATAGATAGATAGATAGATAGATAGATAGATAGAGGGCACAGGATGAGTTGAAGATTAAGGGGTCATATTTGGAGAATAAAATTAAGGGGTGAGAGAGGATTATACTAGGAGAAGGAGAAAGGGAAATGTAGAACGGGGTAAATTATCTCACAAAAAAAAAAACAGAAAAGAAAAGGCTCTTACAGTGGAGGGAAACCAGGGGAAGGTGAGAGGAAATGAGTGAATCTTATTCTCATAGGATTTGACTTAAGGAGAGTATAACATACACACTCAATTGGGTATGGAAATCTGTCTTACCCTACAGGAAAATAGGAGGGGAAGGGGACAAGAGAGTAGGGGGATGATAGAGAGGAGGGCAGATTGGGAAAGGGGGTAATCAGAAGCAAATGCTTCTGAGGAGGGACAGGGTCAAAAGAAAGAATAGAATAAATGGGGGGGCAGGATAGGATTAAGGGAAATAGAGTTAGTTTTTCATAGCATGTCTACTAAGGAAGTGTTTTGCATAACTGCACAAGTATAGCCTATATTGAGTTGCTTGCCTTTTCAATGAGGATGGGTGGGGAGGGAGGAAGGGAGAAAATTTGGAACGCAAAGTTTAAAAAAAACACGTTTAAAAAAATGTTTTCACATGCAACTGGGAAATAAGAAATACAGGAAATGGGGTACAGAAATCTGTCCTGCCCTACAGGAAAATAGAAGGGGAAGGGGGGGAGAGATAGCAGGGAAAGCAGACTAGGGGAAGGGGTACTCAGAATGCATGCCATCTTGGGGTGGGGGGAGGGGAGAGATGGGGTGAAAATTTGGAACTCAAAATCTTGTGCAAGTAAATGTTGAAAACTAAAAATAAAAAAATTAAAATTAAAAAAAAAACAAATTAATCTACATACTTGGCTGAAGACTGGTCACAAGAAACACTCTGAAAGTAATTTTTTGTCCAGTCTTGGTGAGTACCACCCCATTAGGTGTGATTAAGAATTATTTCTAACTGATAAGAGCTCAAAATTACTTTATAATCTCCACCAAATAGCCAGACTGTGGTAGGAACAACACTTACCCCATAGGTTAAGCAAGTTTTTCCCTAAAAAGCAACAAAATTGTCATCAATGCTTAATTGATCCAGAAGACCAAGGCTTCCGAACCATTGATGTGGCTTTGTGGTAGCTCATGTCACAGGAAGGTAGGGTTTCTCAGGCTTCAGCTGGGCCCAAGAGAATCACGTTTGTTTCCTTGCTGAATATTCTTTCCATGCTATTGTTACATGAGCTCTTTTGTTAAATGTTGTGAGGTCTAGGAGTATCTCATTTTGTTTCAGGTCTGAACCTGAACCATCAGGCCTGTCTTAGGCCTGCCTCAGAACACGAGTCTTTGGTCACTGGCAGCCTCAACTAGCCAAAACTGTCACTAGGGCAGATTTAGTTAGAGAGAGGGACAGTGGTACAGGGAGCAGGCCCCTGGTGACTTCTTGGATGAGACACTTTGATGGGGCATGCTGGATTTATGGGGCCTGCCCTCTGCAGCCCCCATCACCTTAAGCTTTTTGTTAAGGTAGAATCCTTGGCCAGGGCACTGCTAGACCGTTTCACAAAGAACCAAAACTCTTACCCTTGGACCAGTGGCAAGCCTTCTTCCTTCTTGCTGTTGCCTTTCCTCAGTATTAGCTCTGTGGCCTACCATCTCCTGAGAAGCAAGATCTCAGCCACAGGACCCTCCTTTCTTCCCTCCATCCACAGAAGGTTAGGGCATAGGAGGTTGTGCCCTTGGGTTCCCTCCTCAGGCTGTCTCCTCCAGCCATCTGCTTGGGCTGCAAGATGCCATTACTGATGACGGGGGTGGAAAGAAAACATATTCCTCCCCACCTTGATGTCCACTGCCAGAGATGTAAGCAAATTTCCAGAGAGAATGTCCCCAGGAGCTTAGTTCTTTCTCCCTGCTAGCTGTCTTCTCTACTGACACTACAAGGTCAGTTCCTCCATTTTAAAATCTCAGCCTTTGCCCCTTGCCTACATAAATGAGTAGGCGCAGAAAAGGCACTGAAGCAATCAACCCCCAGGGTAAATCCATTTCTCTGCCAATCTTGGCGTTTACTGGTATTTACTGATCCTGCCATGTGCAAATGGATCACTCAGAGTCTGATACGTAAATTTAATCAAGCGCATTGGGGGACCCAATTGATCAGGATGTTTATCAACACCCCCCAGGCCTACTCCATCCAAAATAAATAAAATATGATTTAGGCAGTGAGGCTGGAACAAACAACTTAAGAGATCAAGAAAGGCTTTTTTTGTTGAGCTAAGCCCTGAAGAGAATTAGGGGCTCCAAAGGAGGAAGAATGAACATTGTAGATGTGGGGGACAGTGTGTATATGAGGCAGGGGGTGAGAGGTTATATACAGCGCAGAGCTCACAGGCCAGGTCGGTTATAGTATAGTGTATACGAGGAGACCGATGAGCAGTCAGCCTGGGAAGATGTTTTAGAGATAGATTATGAAGGAGTTAAAATGCCAAGCAGAAAAACTTGTATTTTATTCTAGATTCCCACACGGGAAGAGGGGTGAGATTGGTGGGGGGGGGAAATAACCCCAAACAACAACGACAACAAACAACGACAATGCCTTGGTTACAACCTGTGGATTGTGAATAAAACATCAGACCATTTCGCACCAGGGGTGATGAAGAGAAAGCAATTCCACCCAAGCCTCCAGTGATTGCTCTCAGGATACTTATCCTCCATCCCGTAGAAAGACTTTGTGAACTCTGAAAGGCCCAGAGGATGGGATTTTCTGATCAACCTCTTAGCAGTGTTCCTTGAAAAGCAGTGGCTAGTGGTAGCGTCGACATGGGAGCCAAGGACCATCGAGAAACAGCGAGGAAAGGCAGCTTTCAGACTGGACGAGGGCTATGCCACACCCAAGGACAACTTCAAGAGCACCTCTACAAAGGGGAGGCAAGGACAGGAACCGTCACCTGCGCCTTTTCAATTATAAACTCACAGCTCGAAAATATACCACGCTGAAACGTTTAGGCTGTGTCTTAACCAAGACACCAACTCTCCATCACAACTGACTGAATTATATTGCCCAGCTTAGAAATCAATTGGATTACTGCTTAGTCAAGCTGATTTATTGCCAGTAATCATTTGGGAAGACTTTAGAAAACACCTGATGAACCAATACATATTGTGGTTTATCTCCTGTTGGCCCGATTCATTGAAATATAAACTTTATAGATTTCTTTGTATCCCCAGCCTACCGTAGTGCCTGGCACACAGTAGGTGCTTAGTACATGCTTGATGGTCCATGTATTTCACCGTAAGAAGATCAACTTAAATAGGAAAGATAAGCAATAACATAGGATCTGAAGAGATAGTGATGAGTGTGTTTGACACTGTTAGTGCAACAAAATCAGTCAAATTCCAAAAGTGTTCCAAAAGTATCTGTGTAGTTTTAAGCTTTAAGAGGACAAGCCATTATCTCTTTAATAATTTAAGCTATTAACGCTTGGGATACCCAGTATAGATACTTAAGAGACAAACTAGAATCCTATAGCTTGAACTCTTTGTCAACTTTGGCATGTAGTTATATTATTACCTTTCCAGCATTATCATACAATTAGAGTTTTTGAGCTGGAAGGAAAGGTGGAGATCATTAAGTTCAGAGGTTCTTAACCTGGGGTTCATGGATATCCAAGCAATCTATGGACAGATTCCAGGGGGGTCTATGAACTTGGATGGGAAAAAAATTACACCTTTATGTTCACTGGCCTTGAATTGCCATTTACATTTCCTTCCATTATGAATGTAGGCAACAGACCATTCATTGGTTTGAGAAGGGGGACAATAAGTCTCACCAGACTGCCAAAGGGGTCCAGGATACAAAAAAGCTGAAGAATCTCAGATCGAGTCCAATTAACTCTTCCTACAGATTTAGGAAACTGATGCTCAGAGAAACTGACATATCCAGGGCCACATAACTAAATTGACTTCCTTTTAAAATGTATTTTTCCAACACTGTAAAAATACTGTAAAGTTTTCAAAAACATTTTTGATTCATCTTTCTGATATTTAAGGACATAAAGAAGTAATAAGCAAGTTTCTGACTTCCTTTTTATTTTTTTAAGAGAAAAGAATGTTCTAATATATAAAAATACAACATTGATAGGCTACAGTTTGTTCAAACACACCACAGTGACTTTCCAGGATAGAGTCCAATTATGTGATGCATGGAAGAGCTGGGGAGCCCTGTGCCTACTCATAAAAAAGTTTCAGATCAAAGACTTTGTAAATTGTTTACAAGTTTTAACTGTCTTGGACCTGGCACTACCCACTGTTCTGTTTTGTGACCAAAGGGAGGAACTTTCAGTGATTGTTGGAATTAATGGGGTAATGGTAGTGGCACAAATTTATAGCCTTCCTGCACATAAACCCACACACACAAACCCACACACACACACACACACACACACACACATGCAGACGTGGTGTATACACATACACAGGAGCTTCCTACAAGGGCAGGTATGACCTGACAGAAAGAAAAGGCTCTTGGGAAGGGTTCTCCATCTTCCTAGAAGATGTTCAGAAGATCCTGGCCTGACCACGTTCATCTTCGTTCTGCCAGCATTTTTCCTCAAGTCAATGCCCTACTGAGAAACACAGACACGCATGTGCTTTGTAACATCTTCCCTCAGAATGGTGGAGACATGAGGTTATTTCCTTCTACGCGGATGAAATGAGTCTCCTGCGCTTTCTCTTCCTTTGGACCCTGCAGTTCCCCAGACTGGAACCAAATCCAAATATGTCTCCTGGGCTCAGAAGAAAGCGAGCCTTGCAAACAACTGAGAGAGAATTATCAGCCAGAATAGAAAGTAAGTAGAGGTGTTTGCCCCCTACTGAGAAGGGGAGAATCAGCTAATTCTTCAGCAACTCTTAAATATCAGTTGATAAATTGAATGACATACCTGCACCCATACAGCTGAGAGACAATTAAAAGGCTGCCATCCAGGAGATAAGGCCCACACATGACCTATGGTACCTCATAAACAATAAATGAACCATTCTGTTGTTGAAAAGTGATAAACATTAGAAGCCACTGTTCTGCTTAGAGCACATAGTTAATTTGCTTACCTAGTCCCATCAAGTTATGGAGAAAGGGGCAGCTGGGCTTGGAGCCTGCCAAGAGAATAAACAGGGCCACGTCAACAGTGCCATAAACAGCAGTGCTTGAAGGGAAGAGGATTTCTGTTTTGAGATTATAAAAGGGATGTGTCAGACCAAAGAAGTGAATAGGAAAGAACGCAGTCGTAGTGAAATCAGGCACAGTCCTGGTTTATGGGAGAGGGGAGGGAGAGAGACAGAGACAGAGAGAGGAAGAGAGACATAGAGACAGTCAGAGAGACAGACAGAGAGATAGAGAGAGAAAAAGAGAGAGAAGAAGAAGAGAGAGAGAGAAGAGAGACACCGTGACAGAGAGAGAAGAGAGACACGCAGAGAGAGAGGAGAGACAGTGAGAGAGAGAGAGAGAGAGAGAGGCCTAAGTGACTTCAGTTTGCAGGCAGTGCTAAATTCTGCACCAAAAAAAAAATCTCTACCTTCTGTGTAGAACTTCATATATAAACAGTAGGGACACATTTGGAAAAATATGCTTCCTGGCAGGAACTTCTCCTTTGCAGCCTCAATTCAATTCAACAAGCATTAATTGCCTGCTAGTGCAAAGCAATGCCTGCCCCTCCCTGGTGGGGGTGGGGGTAGGGAACACCACACATCCACAGATAAGTAAATATGGGATCTGTAAGTAGCCCTTCTAAGCTCTGAGTATCCACATCCCAATATATACTCACATTGATCAATCAGGGCTTGAGAACAAGTCTACTTCTCGCTCTCAGGGTTGTTATCTCTGAGGAGTAAGAGTGATGTCTTCTCTGACACTGTTGGCTAGTGTCCCCATTCTGACGTCTTCTTCCCATCGTAAGCCACGGGTGATTAGCACTGAGTATCATTTAATCGGTTAACATCACTTAGTTTTTATAAAGGTATATTTTTCTAAGATAAATCAAGAACAGAAGCACAAATATTTCCCCCAATGCATAGGGCACACTTTCCCCTATACCACCTCAATCACTGGGGAAATGGGCTCAGTCTTAGAGCAGTTCCTCGATGGCATTTGTCCCCACCAAGTTCACTTCGGAATGTGGCTCAGCTGACGGATTAGTCACTGTCTCTTCCTCTTGGTTGCCTTTCGTCTTCTATCCTGGGTCACTGAAGACATCTCTCCTCAACAGGCTTGGCTGTCATTTTTCCAAATGGGGTATAGATTCCTTCCACTGAAATAGAAGGGTCGGGGAGGTTTTTGGGGAGAGCTATAATCATTTCGGGGTCATGGAGTGGTGCCATAGCACATAGAGCTCCAGACTTGGAGTCAGGAAGACTCACCTTCATGAGCTCAAATCTGACCTCAGACACTGACTAGCTGTGTGACCCCGGCCAAGCCACTTAACCCTGTTTGCCTCCGTTTCCTCATCTGTAAAATGACCTGGAGAAGGAAATGGCAAACCACTCCAGAATCTTTGAAGAAAAAAAAAGCAAAAACAGAAAAGGGGTCACAGAATGTGACAAGACTGAAAACAACTGAATAACATCAACATCAAAATTTCCCCCAATAAGTCCTATGGAAACACTCTCACCTTTCACTAGTTAGGAAAAGCAAAACCAAAAAAAATGATAAGTATGTCATTGGTCCCATCAGTTCTGACTCCATAGCATCAAGTAAGTACCTATCAATTTTTCTGTTCCTCTTTGGGTAAATTCTTGCCCAGCAGGTATACAACAAAGCTCACAGGATTTAGACATGAGAAGGACCTTCAGGATCCTCCCATTCCCATTTTGCAGATAAGAATACTGAAGGCTAGAAATGTAAAACCTAATGCATCATAGATCCAGAGCTGGAAATAACCCTCCTAACAAGAGGCATTATCCCAAAGTGGAATGGACTGCCTGTGGGAGGTTATGCCCAATTTTCCTCACCCAGGGTCTTTAAACAATGACCATCTGTCAGGAAGAGGTTGGAATAGATGCCTTTTAAGGTCTCTTCTAACTCTGAAATTCTGTGAAATTTATAAGAAAGACTTCCAGGGTCACACAGGTAATAAGTAGCTGAGAAGGGATTTGAAACTAGCACCTCTGACTCCAAGCCATTGCTTACCGAACCCCCCCCCCCCACCACGAGATGATAATAATAACCATAACGTGTATTACATGCAGACGAGAAAACTGAGCCTCACAATAACCCTGTGAGACGGAGGCTATGGATGGTATTATTACAAACAAGGAAACAGACCCAGAGAACCTCTGAGTAATACACCCATGGACACAACTAGTAAGTATTGGAGGGGGATTAGAGTTACCCCACTTTTACAGATGAGAAAAGAGAGGCCTGGGGTCACACAAATTGTGTCAGAGTTGGGATTTGAACCCAAGTTCTCTGACACCAGAGCCAATGCCTATTCGTGGTTGCTGTTGTTCAGTTGTGTCTGACTCTTCGTGAACCCATTGGGGGTTTCCTTGGCAGAGATACTGGAGCGGTTTGCCATTTTCTTCTCCAGCTCATGTTACAGAGGAGGAAACTGAGGTCAACAGGGCGAAATGACTTGCTCAGGGTCACACAGCTAGTAAGTGTCCGGGGTCAAATTTGAACTCAGTTCTTCCTGACTCCAGGCCTCGTTCTCTATGCACTATGGAGTCAGAACTCCACCATATCGCATTCCTAAGTCACTCCCCTACGTAGACACCCAACTGGGGTTCTTTTTTGGCTTGGGAAAATACTTTTAAGAGAACCCACTTCCCCCCCCCCCACATATATATATACCCATTATCAAAAGCAGTAGAAAGCCTATATTTTATCCCTCTTCTTGCCTTTCACTCCCATCAGCCATCAACCAATGGGAATAAACTGGGCAGCTCCTCTGTACTCAGCACTCTGCTAGGCACAGTGGGAGAGCCAAACACAGCATGGCCCCTGCCCTCAAAGACCACGCCTTCCAGGGTTCTCTGGTAAAGAAGCAAGAACCAGAGTTCTCTAACAACAGTTTGAGTCCAAAGAGGCTTAAGAATTTATAGAACTTCATGGGCCCATCAATGAAAAATGTAAACTCTTTGATGGCAGGGACTGTTTGTCTGGCACATATTAGGTTCCTGGATTTAGGGTCAGAAGGGACCTCAGATGCCATCTGGTCCAACTCTATCATTTTCATAACTGAACAGAGTGAGGGAGTTGAAGTGACTGGTCACACAGGTACAAAACGACAGATCTTCAGGCTCCAAATACAGTGCGTGGAAACGTCTGACAAAAGCATGACTGTGGATGGCCTTCTTCCCTCCGGCCATCATGCCTCCTCCCATAAAGATCCCCACAGTCCTCCTTGATTTTCCAAAGCCCCAGTAGAGTTCCCAGGCTTGGTAGGTCGTGGCTCCCAGGACCTGCTCCCTCCTCACCTGCCCTCCCTACCTGCCCTCCCTGCCTCTTACCAGAGTCTGGCTGTGGGAAATCTTGGAGACAAGAGCGCAAAGAGGTCCTCACATCTCAGTCCAAAGCAAACAGGGTCAATGGGTAGAACGGGATGGCAAGCAGTACCCCGTTCAGGCTGCTTCCAATTGCATTTGTCCACTCATGCGTGCAGTAATGTCATTTAAAAATAAATGAGGATGATTCCCCTTTACATGTGGGCTTTCATCTGAGGGTTTCAAAAGGCTTTCCTACAAAGGATTCCGCACCCAGGTTTTACATAAATATAAACTGAGGCACCTAAGAATTAGGGTTTTGTGGGGCCTTTGAGCTTTATTTTAAAAAGTACTTTTATCATTAGGAGATAGAAGTGGCCAAGACCCTAATCCTAACCTAGGACCCCACAGCAAAGGAGAGCTGGAGAGAGAACCCCAGACTCCAGATGTTGCCCCACCCCCCGACCACATCTCCTCTCGGCTGGCTGACTAGATCATTAAAATCTCAATTAAAGCAGGCAGAGAGATGGGACAAAAATCTCTAATCCCAAACCAGAAACACTCAAGACTGACTCACACTCAATAAGTCAGAGTTTTTCAAACATTCATCTAAAAAAAATTTTTTTAAAGAAATGAGACAGTCATTGCCTTAATCCCCTGACCCAGTGAACTCTATCTTTGGGTCACTGACGCATCCCTGACTCCATGGGGAGTTCCAGCCACATCTGCATTGCCACAGAGCAGGAAGGCCGAGCCTGGGGGTTGTCAGGGGTGGTGCTGGCCCAGGCTTGGGAGAAAAGGAAAGACTTAGCATCCCTGAGTGAGCTGGCTGTGAGTCACTGGTGGGTGTTTGTTTTTCCGGGTTCTGGGTTTGAGTCACCGCCCTTCCTGCTGCTCCTTCTCCAGGCTGAAATGCCGGAGCAACATGTCCTTTGATGAGGGATGCTGCTTCAGAATAGCAGTGATGCTGAAAGAGACGCTCCCCGTGAAACATTGTAACCGGACACAACTGAGAAGTTCCAGCTGCTTGTCTGCGTATGCAAGAGGGTAGCATGAGTAAAGAACCCAGTGGGGGTGGAGGAGAGAGAGAGACAGACAGACAGACAGTCAGAGACAGAGAGAGAGACACAGAGAGGCAGAGACAGACAGAGACACACAAAGAGAGATACACACATAGAGAGGCAGAGAGAGAGACAGAGACAGAGAAACAGACAGAAAGGCAGAGACAGAGACAGAGAGACAGAAACACAGGAAGAGAGAGAGACACAAAAGCAGAGAAAGACAGAGAGACAGAAACAGAGAGAGACGCAGAAAGAGAGACAGAGACAGAGGGGAGAGAGAGAGAGGCACATGTGGAGAGGAAGCCTCTGTGAAGCCAGCTGGGGTAAATATAGACAGCCACCCACCCACACAAGCAAGCAGGTGGCCGGTTTGCATCACTGTATTTGCACATGTGTATATATATATGTATGCATGTATGTGTGTGCCTCCCACCATCCCCTGAAGAAACATCCCTGTTCAAAGGCTCGGGCTGTTCACTTTTTTGTGGGCCCTGGAATCCTCTGCAGTGTGGTAAAGCCTAGGGACCCCTTCTCAGAATAATGTTTTTAAGAGCATAAAATACAAATCTGGTATTACAAAGAAAACCCATTATATTGAAATGAAATTATAAAAATATTTTTAAAAAAACAAGTTTGAGCACCTCAAGTTAAGAAACCCTGCCCCAAAGAAATCCTGGTGATATCAGAGCCAGCACTAAACGAGTTATTGGTCTAAGCCCCACAAAGGGATTGGCCTGAATAATCACTTAAATTCCTGTCCATCCCTAAATCACAGAAGCTCCAGAGTTGGAGGGCACCTCAGGGACTATCTGGTACAGTGGGCACAGTCAGGGAATCTCTTCCACATCCAAACTTTGCTCGAATCAGTTGATAAATACATATCTATTAAATATCTTCAGTACTTCCAGGGAGGGAGTGGGCAACCATCTTTGAAGGCGGCCCATTGTGGTTTTGGCTATCTTTGTTAAGAAAGGTTTCCCCCTCTTCCCCTTTTTATTTTTATTTTTTATTTTTTTGGCTTTTTGGTGAGGCAATCGGGGTTAAGTGACTTGCTCAGGGTCACACAGCTAGTAAGTGTCAAGTGTCTGAGACCAGATTTTTGAACTCTGGTCCTCCTGACTCCAAGGTCAGAGCTCTATCCACTATACCACCTAGTTGCCCCTTCTCCTCTTTTTAAATAGCACATATTGCATTAATATTAGCACAGTGCGTTGTGTTTTGCTTACTGAAACAAAAAACAGGTGAAAGCATATCAGAATTCATAAGGTCTTCTTTGAAGAGACTTGGATAGGCATATTTGAAGAAACTTCTGGAGAGATTCAGAACTGTTTAGTGACTGTTTGAGAAACTAAACCAGAGATGTTTGTTTTATTGTCCTATTTTTTTTTTCATTCTAAATTTCCCTATAGAGGAATAGACATTCCAAGAGCATTTTGCTGTTCTTTTTTGCTGCATTTAAGGCAGGGATTTTTTTCCTTAAAAATTACCTCTCTTGTTCTCCTTCACATTTCCATCTCCAAGCATAGCATGATTGTAAGGCATTTTGCCATGGTGAACAAACACCGGATTCTACCGAACTCATCCCTGAGTCTCTTTTTTTTTTTAAGGCAATTGGGGTTAAGTGACTTGCCTAGGGTCACACAGCTAGTAAGTGTCAAACGTTTGGTCTGAGGTCGGATTTGAACTCAGATCCTCTTGACTTCAGGGTCGGTGCTCTATCCACTGCACCACTTAGCTGCCCCTATCTTTAGGTATCATCCCCACTAGGGTATGAGTTTCTAGAGGGAAGGGAGAGTGTTTTTGCCTAGGTATCTTCAGTTCTTAGCTCTGTGCCTGGCATACAGTAAGCACTTAATAAAAGCTTGTTTCCTTCATTCCTTCCTTCCTTCTTTCCTTCCTTCTTTCCTTCCTTCCTTCCTTCCTCCTCCAGTTCTTTCCACTATTCCTGGTATATACAAAGTATTTAATAAACGCTTGTTCACTAATTACCCCTTTCTCTTCACTCCTCCCTCTCACTACCATCATTTGAAGTTACCCTAAGTCTAGAAAACACCTAGTGTAACCCAGTAAGGAAGCTAAATAGAGCTTTTTATTTACCTTCATATCATCGCTTGTAGGCTTGTAGTACTTGTAGACACCATCCATCAACTCCTGGGACATGTTGTTTCCTTCTTCAATGAGTTTGATGTCTGGCTCACAGTACTTCTTCTTTTCCCCGTTTCTGCTTTGATACTAAGGGACTTCAACATTGGTATTTTATTTTTATTCTGAAGTAACAAACACCAAATAAAATGGACATTTCCATATGCATAGTATGACAAAAGAAGAGAACAGTACATGAGATTGACTCTCTGTTACAAGCAACTTATTTTTCTTTTAAATATCTAATAAATTTGGTGTGTAATTCTCAAAGCTGTTCTACTTGTCTTTTGGGCCTTTCCTATGTTCCTATGTTCTTTTCTGTACATTAAAAAAAAAAGACGCTTCAATGAACCACTTTATTTCTTTTTTTCTCTACTCTCTCCCTCTCTCATTTCCCTTCCTCCTTTCTTCCTTCCATTCTGCCCTCTTTTCTCTTCTTCGCTTCCTTCCTCCCTCTCTTCATCCCTCCCTCCCTCCCTCTCTCTGTCTCTCTCTCTCTTTCCTTCTCTAATTATAACCATTATTCCAACTTTTGCTCTGTCCTATGACCCCAACTCTTCATCCTCACCACAGCCTCCGTTACCTACCATCCCTCAGCTCTTTTCTAGGCCATCACTCTTGCACTGAATATAATTTCCTCCCTTTCCTATCTTGAACATGCCCCCAGCAATAGGAAAACAAAGGTTTAAAGCCAGCTGTTGTTATTGTTGACAACTTGCTATGATAACATTGCAAAAGAAAGAGGACAAAGAGGCCAAGAATCAGATTTTATTTTTTTTATTTTTAGGCAATTGGGGTTAAGTGACTTGCCCAAGGTCACACAGCTAGTATGTGTCAAGTGTTTGGATGGAGGCTGGATATGAGCTCAGGTCTTCCTGACTTCAGGGCAGGTTCTCTATCCACTGCGCCACCTAGCTGCCACTTTTTTAAAAAAATTCTTTTATTTATTTATTTTTTGGGCAATTGGGGTTAAGTGACTTGCCCAGGGTCACACAGCTAGTAAGTGTCAAGTGTTTGTTCTGAGGCCGGATTTGAACTCAGGTCCTCCTGACTTCAGGGCTAGCGCTCTATCCACTGTGCCACCTAACTGCCCCCAAGGCCAAGAATCATAGATCAAGAGTTAGGAGAGACCTCCAAGGCCATCTAATTGAAATCCTCCATTTAAAGCAAGCATCAGAGGTGGGATCTGAATCAAAACCTTTAGACTCTAGAGCCAATGTGCTTTCCATTGTGTATCACGAAGAAAACCAGTTATATTAAGATACAATTTTCAAAATATTTTTAATAAAACCAAGTTTGAGGACATCATGTTAAGACCCCCCACCTGGTGATATCAAAGATAATACTGAAAGAGTTGCATTGAAAAATCTCTAAGATCCCTTACATCTCTAAACCATGGAATCTCAAGAGTTGGATGGTGCCTCAGAGACCATGTGGTCCAGTGGGCACTGGATCAGGAATCTTGTCTATCACGTTCAAACTTGGCTTGAATTAATCAATAAACAACAGTAATTAACTGCCTTCTAGCGTTCCCTATCATCCCTGAACCACCTTTTCGTAGTTAAGTAAATGGCCAGAAGAATGGACGAATTGGCCAACCATTTTTCTTATCTAATCTCATTGATATTTAAATGGATCATGATCAGGAGGTTCAGAACACACGGCTCTATTACTAACCTTGGAAGCTGAGTCGGTATGATAAAAACAAAACAAAACACCAGACTGAACAACAGTTGAGCTAACATAGGTAACAGGGCCTTGGATTCCAACAAAGTGGATTGATTAATGGTGTGATTCAAGATGGTCAGAACTGGACCAGTTCCCAAAGGGTGATTCAATTGGCAAAAAGATTGGGGTGAGGCAGGAAGAATCTACACCCCATATTTGACGCAGGAAAGTCATAGGACCACATGTCCTTCAGAAAATACAGATAAAACAAGTAAAAAGAGCTACAGCTTTTTAGATGGTTTGAGAGTGGAAGCTGGAACATCATGGCAGTGGGGAAAAGAATGGAAATGAATGGAAAATTGAAAGAAGGCCAGCGTCAGAGTCAGAGGATCTGGGTTCAGATCCCAGCTCTGATACTACCTGGGTAACCTGAAGCAAGCCTCCTAACTTCTCTGGGCCTCAGTTTCCTCATCTTTAAAATTAAAGTCATTGGACTAGAAGACTTCAAAGGTTCCTCCAAGATCCAAATCTAGGATTGTGTGTTCCATGTCAACACAGTTTGAAACTGAGAAGTGGGTGCACAGAGTTAGGATTTATCATGAACACTCTATGTGTACCTATGAAAGGGTCTCATTTCCATTATTATGATAGCTGACATTTAGGGAAAGGAATAAGTGTTTATAAAGCACCTACTATGTGCCAGGCACTGTGTTAAGCTCTTTACAAATAATATCTCATTTGATCCTCACAACAACCCTGGGAGGGATGTGCTCTTATCACTCCCATTTTACATTTGAGGAAACTGAAGCAGGCAGAGGTTAGGTGATTTGCCCAGGGTAACATAGCTCAGAAGTGTTTGAGGCTGAATTCGAGCTCAGGTCTTCCTGATTCCAGACTTAACATGCTATCCACTGTGACACCTAGTATTTTAAGGTTTGCAAAACTCTTTACATGTTACCTCATTTGGCTCCCACAAAAACCCTGTGGGATAGGTATCACAGACATCATCTCTATTTTATAGATCAGGAAATAAGGTCTCAGAGAGGTCAAGTGATTAACCCCTAGGGTGACATAGCCATGAAGAGCTGGAGGGTGAATTTGGACCCATGTCCCTCCTGACTCCAGAGGCCCTTCCCCTATATAGCACTGCCTCTTAGTTACACATAATCAGGGGTTGTCTGCGGACCCACCCCCTTGAATCCCTCTATAAGACAGAGATAATGCAGTCACAGTTAAGTTAGCCAGACTAGTTTT